GAAGATAGTGTCTGAGCTTACCTGATAGAGGCCACAGTACCTTGTTAAAAGACCTTTCTATGGAGATTTTCTCTGAACCCTGAATACTTTCTGAATTATCTTAACGAGGAAGAAACTTCCTTGCCCAGAGTAATATTGTTGGTGAAAGATCTCTCTAAACATCTTTTTATTGGTTTTACTTGGCAAAGTTTTGGACCTGGCTATGGAGTTTGCAGATGCCACCCACCAGATTCATTTTACAAATACTCAGCAATTATTTTCAATAATAACTCTTCAAAGATTTTAATTCACACACATGCAATGTCTACAACATCATTTATTAAGGCTCAAGACACAATTTTACTAACTTTTCCTTTTACTCTAACCATAACCAAGAAGTGAAAGGTCTGAACCTCTTCTTCCTCCCTTCTTTCCTCTCCTCCCTCCCTCTTTCCCTTCCTTTTATTTTCCTTTTCAGGATCTTATGATGGGCCAGGCTGGCCTCAAACTCATTGTGTAGCTCAGGCTGGCCTTGAACTCCTGATCCTCCTGCTTCATTACAATTGTGAACCATCATACCCAGTTTTGAGTCTCTTTTCTTTTTAAAGGAGTTCAAAGTATGTCCAGAAAGGCATTCTCTTGGGAGGATCAAGCTCTGAGTGTAGGGAGCCTCAGAGGGAGAGACCAGGGCTCTCTGGTTTTATTTTTGTGTGCATCAGGCATAAATGAATTTGCTTTGAACTTCTCTCCTGGCGGTGTTGGTATCCTGCTGACTTAAAGACACTGCAAGGAACAAAATGGCTACTTTGTTGTTTTGGTTTTTTGAGACAGGGTCTTACTATGTAGCCCTGGCTGGCTTGGAGCTCTTTGTAGACAAAGCTGCTCTTGAACTCAGAGAGGTCTACCTGCTTCTGCTTTCTGAGTGCTGGGATTAAAGGAGAGTGCCACCACACCCAGCCTCCATGTTTACTTCTGTCAGAATCAAGGAGACATTTCTTTAGAAACTAACTGAGGTAACAACAGGGCAGTGGAATACAAACAAGGGAAGGGACATCATCTTCAGAAGAATGATCCTCACTAGGTGTTTCTGGGAAAGGAAAGGTAAATCAAGGGTGGGTCCTTAGGCTGGAATGAGTGCAATGGCAAACAACTGAGGGATGGGCCAAACATTTAATGTTCTAGTAACATTAAATTCATTTGAACTAAGGTAGCCCTAAAGTAGCTGAGGCTAAGATGGAAAATGGCCAAAACAGGTAACAAAACAGCAGTATTTGGGGTTGACCAATCATAATGAGGTTTAGCAAAAGCACAAGACCCATGTGTCTTATGAGGAAACTGTGGAGAGTTTCTATTTACAGATTCCTGAGTGGGAAAACCAGGCACATTACTGAGTTCCCCAACTTCTGGTTCTCTGATTGGAAGTTCACTTTTCCCCAGTTTCTCTGCTGTCAACATGTACTGCATTTTAAAAAAAATAGTTAATTTAAAAGCAGACAGACTTGCTATGACTAATGTCAGAACTCCCAAAGCAGGCTTTTTCCAAAAATACACTGTAATTGATAGTACTATAAGCTCAGTATAAAGGGCTGTGACACAACTTCTGGCCCCAGGCTGAGCCAGATGTTTCCTGTTGGTTCAGGCACAGCAGGCAGGTCTCCACACTCCTTTACTGCTCTTGCTATGGTACTTTAACTGTCTTAAATCAAGCTTCTTTATAAGTGAATCTTTCCAATGGATATATACAGTCTATCTTAGTAATTCTTATTTTCCTCCTCAGTTTCTAAGAAGTTGTTAGGGAAAACATAGAATAGAGGTCAAGATGGCTACACACACACAAACCAGGGAAAGAACTCAGGGCCTCACGCATGTCAAACATGTGTTCTACTACTGAGCTACATTCCATTTGGAGAAAATTTATTTTCAGACAGTGTCTCAACTACATCTCCCGGGCAAACCTCTAACTTGTAAATCCTCTTGCCTCAGGTTCCTAAGTAGTTGATCTTACAACTGTGTACCATCACACTAGACCTAAACACTTACTTCTGAATGAAAATATATTTATATTCTTTAAGAAAAAAATTTCTTTTTTAATTTTTAGGTCTGTTTAGACAAGTCTTGCTGTGTAGGTCAAAGTGGCCTAGAACTCTCTTAAGCCAGGGTTTCCTCAGTCTTGCAGTCCTTCTGCCTGTGCCTCTGGGGTTACAGGCATGCACCATCATGTCTAACTTGCCCAAATTAGGTTTTTAGGCCTGTTTTGGTTGTTGTTTTGAGACAGGGATTCCCTATGTGGAACTCATTATGAAGAATAGGCTGGCCTTCAGTTTATGGTTCTCCTGTTTCTGCCTCCTGAGTGCTGGGATTACAGACATGTGCCACCATACTTAGCTCCAAAATTAGTTTCAAAAACTAACAGCTTTTAGTCAAGTTGGTCTTACAGGCTGTTACCTCAGTGTGTCTTAGTTACCTGTTGTTAAGAGGAAGGTTAGAGACACAGGAAGTAATTTTCTTCCAAAAGTTCACAAAAGGATGAGAGGATTGCATTCATACAGTGTGCTCAATTAATTTTTGCCATGAGTTCAATTGTAGGGGAGAAGTGATAGGTAAAAACATCACCATTTACTGAGTCTACTTTGTACCATCTAGAAGTCATGTCCTTCATTTAATTCTTCAGTAATGTTTCACATTTTCATCTTTTAATAATATGCATAACCTAAAAAGATCAGAAAAGTTAAGCAGCTTATTGAAAGCGACACAGCTAGCAGACAGCCAGGAAAATGGAAAACCAGAAACTCAGACACTGACCTGTCTGGCTGTTAAACAGAAGATCACAATCTATCTCTTCAGAATTTTGTTCAGCAGTCAGTTTATTAATGGCCCAACATCCCTTTGACTGCTATTTCAAGTAGTTTCCTGTACCACTTGTGACTTGGCTCCTTAAGAATTCAAGGTATGAAGTGCTGGAGAGATGGCCTAGTGGTTAGGAATACATGGTCCAGTGGGCCTGAGTTAGGTTCTCAGCACCCATGTGGGTAGCTTAAAACTGCCTGTAACTCCAGCTCTAGGGGACCTGGGATCTGACACCGTCTCTGGCTTCCTTGGGCAGGGACTGACCAGAAGTTTCCTCCTTGTTGAATAGCTTTCATAATACTGGAAGGTGCTGTGCGGGTATCTGGGGAAGTAATACCCAGCAGTCAATCCTGTGAGGCATAGTAACAACTGGCTCAGTAAGACATACCCATGGGTGCAATAGTGCCATGAATATTACGATAGCAACCAACTGCTTTCTGGTTGGGCTTAAGCTCCTCTCTGCAGTAGGTAACTCATGCTTATTACTTTAAGTTTGGCCAAGATTCACCAGCTGGGGAGCTTGCAGGCTTAGAAGTAAATCTACTATTATTTTGGTACATGGACAAAGTATCAGACTGCCTTGCGAATACTTATCATTAAATCAATAGATTACTGCAACTATCACCCTCATCAGAGAAACTTCCTTTTGTCAAGGATACCAGTCACAACTGGTCAAAGTGTAAAAAACTAGTGTCTGTGGCGTGCTCTGCCATAAATGGGACATCTATATCATGTGACCTCCATTCAAGACTCAGGGAACATTGAGGACGAGAAGATGGAATGATTGTAAGCGCCTGAGGTCAGGGATGACTGGACTCTTCTGGACATGACCACTGCACTCATGAATTCACAGCAGCCATGGCTGCCTGTTAAAGATCTGTACAGAAGAAAGCAGCTTAGGTACATTCCAGAATCAACAGGGCATAGAAGCCCCACCCTGGCTGAAAAGCCATTGGCCTTTGATGGATGCTAGGAGAATGAGTCAGTTTTCTTTAGGGATGGGTCTCTGGTAGCTGACTCTGCTCCAGTGAATGGCCTCACACCATGCATATATGGACAACACTTACCTAAGAACAAAAAAGGATATGAAATTGGATGGGGCACATAGGGGCATTTGGGAGAAGTTGGAGGGGTGAGGGAGGGCAAATGATTGAAATACATTGTATGCATGTATGAAATTCTCAAAAAATGAAACTATCATAAAACAAAATCATACAGATATATTTTTAACAATTATATATGAAACTAGGCATGGTTTTGAAAGCTTGTAATTCCATCACTTGGGAGAGGGAGAAAACAGGATCAGGAGTTCAAAGTCAACCTCAGCTTGGAATTCATGAGACTGTTTCCAAAAATGAACCAAATTTGTATGATCTGGCTTGTGCTTAACATCCTAGCACTGGAGATGCTGAGACAGGATTGCTGAGTGTTCAAGACCAACCTGAACTGCACAGTCAATTCCATGGCAGCCTAAACTACAGAAACTGTCTCAAAAAGCCTAAATAAATAACATACTCATTTGTCTGGTGGGGTGGGAAGACATGGTCTCAGTATGAAATCCGGGCTAGATTGGAACTCTCAACATACTGAGAATCATATTGCGAACCTGTGAATTTGGCGGTGATTTCTGCACTCTTTCTTTGGTCTTTAAGATTAGGCTCTCTTTACAGATGATGAACTTGTGTTCTGGATTGAGAGGCAGTCGATCTCTCATGAGTTCAGGACCAGCTAGAGCTACGTATTAAAATGCTGTCTCAAAAGCAAAAACCAAACCAAACCAAAGTCACTTCAAGTCCTGTAACTAGCAAAGTTAGTAAAGTGGAAAGCTTTCCTCACACCACCAGAGAAGCCATTTGTCAGATAATTGATCTAGCGGTGGTGGTAGATCGCCTAGTAAACCAGAGGGCTTTGCCCTCACACGTCAGCTATGCCGCCACAGCCCTCGCCCCAGGCTGCAAACCCAAAAGCCCCAGACCTGACTTGTAGGCCCGCGGGGAAGGACAAACGCTCAGCAAAGCTGGAGACGAGGGAGCGGGTGCACTGGATGGCCTAATGGGGTACGGCTACGCTAGCCCCGGGCCAGAAACAAAACACTGGCTTCGGGGCTCGGCCCCTCCTCCGGAAGTGACGCGCGACTGCGGGTCGAGGAAGGGCCCCGGCACTGCCGGGGGGGTTTGAGAGTGGCGGAGGCCGAGGAACGACGGGAGAGTCCGGTCGTAGTGAAGAACGTCGAGCGCGCGGCCGGCGACTGGCAGCCCAACTAGCCACACAGCCTCTCCGGCCGCGTGTGCGAGGGCGGAGGGCGGGGTTCGAGACCTGCGGCGGCGGGAGATGCGGGCGGCTGCAGGCACGCGGTTGGCTCGGCTCGGCCGCCACCGCCTTCTCGGGCTCCGGCGCGGGGGTCGCCGATGTTGCCGCGCCGTCCTTGAGTTGCCAGCGCGAGGAACGGTCGGCGGCAGAGTCTAGCACCGCGTTCAAGGTCGAGAAGGATTCCTGCATCCTCTCTGGTGAGCAACACACCCACGCCCTGTCGGGGTCTCACACCACCACCCCTCAGCCTGCTTCAGCGCGGGTCGGGCGGGGGCTGCGGGCGCGGCAGGAAGTGCACTCGGCGGCGACAGGGGCGGTGCTTGGCGGCGGCAGGGCGGGGCCTGGGGCCTGGTGGGCGGGGCCTGGGGCGCGCTCTTCTTGGGCGCAGCTCCGGGGCGCTCAGGTGCGTGCGGGAGCGGGCCCCCTCCGCCCTTCTCGCGCCACGGTGGGTCTTGCGAAGTCCCCTGGGCGGAAGGTGGCAGCGGTTTTTGTTGCCAGGGTGGGGCGGAGGGGAACAGTTTTAATTTGTCGAAGTGGCAGGAAGTTGGAAAGTGAAAGTGCTTTCATGGCTCGCCCACGGACCGGAGGTTTGCGTCTCCCAGCACTTTGATCTCGGGGCGCGCGGCCTCACGTCGCGTTCTTCCCTTCCCCAAGCTCGCTGTCCAGCCAGCAACAGGTTTTTTTTTTTTTTGTTTGTTTTTGTTTGTTTGTTTTTTTCTTCCCGCTACTTTTCAGCCTCCCTAGCTTACTGTACAGTTGTGGCAGGCTTTTCCTCTGAAAAGCATTGGAAGCATCTTTTGGGGGAGAAATCTTAACGGGTATTGGCAGAAAATAAGGGCAATTTGTTGGGTGAAGCCAGAAGACGCAGTTGGCTCTTTCTCGAGCCGTTGTAATTTGAAGGTTAGGTCATTTAAGATTCTTTCAGCAGAACGGTTGCCTGTTTGTCGTTCTAGAGTCAGATCTCTTCCCCCCTTCCACCCCCCTCCCCTCAGCACAGAACTTGGAGCTTCTGTATTTCCGGCTGGCAGTGGTGTTTTTGTTAAAACAGTATGATTCGACTTTTCCTCGTAGGAACTCTTTGTTCTTTGATCCTTGGTTTTATTTAAAAATGGAAACTGCTTACGCGGAGTTGGGCATATTTTTTGGGAAATATTGTCTTAAGTTTTGGGATACCATTATGTATTTGAGGCAGGGGATGTACTGAGCTGAGTCACCAGCACAAAAATGGAAAAAAGTATGCATTTAATATCCTCTTTGAGTAGGGTCTTGTGGCTCTCATTTTGCCCTCCCTCCCTCTCTTCCTTACTTTACTAACTAGTACCAAAACCAGGGTCTGCAGCAGGTGTCCATCAGCTTATCTGCACCTCAGGCTCCCTGTTCTAAAAAGGTAGCAGCAGTTTTCTTTGCCTAGGTGTAGTGCTAGCCGTCTAACTTGTGTTCTGAAGGATGCTAGACAGGCACTTCACCGCTGAGCTGCTCTCCAACCCCTAAAGCCCCTTGTTCAGTGTGCCGTAGAGATCCGTCTTTGAATGTTAAACCTTTTTCAGCGTTTAACCTGTCAGTGATCAGAGAGTCCTTCATTTGGGTCCATTTAACTCTTGGCTCTGTTATGCTTCTAAAAAAACCTTTTGAAGCTGTAATTGTTTTACTTAGAAGGTGTCTTTGTATGGTGTGTGTTTCTGTTCTCTCTCTTGGTATGTAGCCCAGGCTTCATGCTCACAGTCCTCCCTGCTTCATCCTCAGGAGAGCCAGGAGTATAGGTATGCTCCTGGACTGTTTTCACTTCTATTTGTCTTCTGTTCTTTTTTTTTTTTTTTTGGAGGGATGGGGTGACAGCATCTCATGTCCTAACTGGCTGCTATATAGACTGGGCTGGCCAAGAAATCACAGAGAGCCTTTGCCTCAGAGTGCTGGGATTAAAGATGTGTGCCACCCTGCCAAGTCCTAGCTCTCTGTCATAGTTGGGGATATCATTGAAGTTCACTCATAGGAGCTAAAGTGAAGAGTTTCAACTGTGTATCTAGGAGTTCATTGAAAGAATAACCTGACACAGAAATTGAATCATGGGTTGAAGGTTGTAGTTCAGTAGTAGAACCCATGTTTGCTGTTGAGACCTTGGGTTTTATCCTTAGTACTACAAAGTTTTGGTGGTGTGTTTTTGTTATTTTGAGGCATGGTCTCACACAGGTCAGGGTGGCCTTGATCTCTTTATTTTCTGCTTCCTAAGTGCTGAGACATAAAAGTTTATTGTAATAGTCTTTTTTGGAACTTGCTGGCCTCCTGGAACTCACCTGTCTCTGCCTCCTGAGTGCTGGAATTAATGGCGTGCTACACCAGGCAAGGCTTCTGCATATGTTCTTGATGTGTAGGTGATGTCTGAAATGTGTTCTTTCCTATTTACTGGAGTAGTTTAAATAGGCTGGAGTAGGATATAATTGCCAACTATTGGAAATTATATTGGAAAACTACTAATATAAAAGTAACTTGCCGTAAGAATAGATATCATCAGATAAAAAGGTCTGTTTGGTAAACTCAAAACAATGACAGGGATCACCCCTCCCTATATACACTTAATGAAGATGATAATCACTATTTTAACTCTGCTTAAGTGAAGCTGTGGGGAAGATGTGTAGTAGACTCTTAGCACGAAAAGAGCTTTTTGTGAATTGTTCTGACTTAGTCTGTGGTGCTTAATGCTGGCAGTGCTCTTGCAGGACAGAGAAGAGGTTTCTCGAGTAGAAGAGTACGGCTGATGAAGGAGCCTGGGATTCGTTTCTCAGTTTCACCATCAACTATGACTATGGCGTCTCTTTTCTGTTATTTTACTGTCTTTGCTTTTGGATCATACAACGTGTCTGTTCAGACAATGTCAAAACTGGTAACTAAAGATGACTGGAGGGTGTTTTCATGCTTGAGAGAAATTCTAGAAACCCAAACATTTTCCTAGCTGGTACTTACTGATCTGTCCTCTGAGTCATATGTTGTTAGGCTTAGTCTTCTTATGCCTGAATTGTGTAAGCTGGTTATGTTGGGTTTGTTTGTTTTAAACATCTTCATTGAGAGTAACTGACATCACCCATGGAGATCATGCAGTTGCATGCTTTTTAATGTACATAGAATGGAATCACCACAGTCTTGCCTGAGAATGTTTTCAGTCACCCTAAAAGAAACCTTGTGGTTGTGAGCTTTCATTCTCCACCTTTCTCTCCACCCCTTCTACTCGATGCTTCTCCTTTCAGCCCCTCAGCCACATTGCTCTCCCTTTTGTCTGTAGAATGGTCTGGTCTAAACACTGCACACATATCACCGGAGCCATACACTGGCCCTTTGTGCCTGGTGCTTCTTACTTCTGTCATGTTTTCAAGGTTCATCCATACCGTATCAGTACTTACTTACTTTTTTTTTTTTTTTGAAAAAAGTAAGTGTATTCTTGTGTGTGTGCTCATGTGCATGTGTGTGTGTTTGCATGTGTGTGTGTGTCTGCAGGTCAGAGGACAACTCTGAGGCACAAGTTCTTTCTTCACTGTGGGTTCTTGACAACAGGCTCACGTTGTCAGGTTTGTACACTAAGTGCTTTTACCCAGAATCATCTTTGCCCTCTCCCCCTTCAAACTTAATGCTGTTTTTATCTTTGTGTGTGTGTGTGTGGGTGTGTGTGTGTTCATGCATGTTTTTGTGTGCATGTGTAGCATGATGTACCAGGACAGCCTCAGGTGTCAGTCTTAATCTTCTACCTTGCTTGTACTCTAGCCAACTGCCCCTTGCATCTCCTTGGGGCACTGGGATTACAGTTTTATGTAGATTCTGGGGATTTAGGCCCTCATGCTGGTACAGCAAGTGCTTTAATAACTGAGCCATCTTTCCACCCCTCTTGATTCCTTTTAAAGGCTGAATAATATCCCATTATATGAATGTACTATATTTTATATTATTATATAAAATATTATATTATTTATATTAACATATTTTATATTATTCTAATCATAAGTTGGGTGGACATTTTAATTGATTCCACTCAGGATTTATGAATAATTCTGCTATGAACATTCCTGGTTGTGTTTTTTTGTTTTGAGACATAGTTTTGCAATATATTTCTGCTTGGCTTGGAAATTGCTATATTGACCAGGCAGGCATTGAGCTCCTAGAAATCTGTCTGCTGATGCCTTATAGTCCTGGAATTAAAGGCATGTGCCACTGTACAGTTCTATGGACATATGGTTCCATTATCTAAGTGTGTACCTGGTCATGTGGTAAACGTGGCTGTAGAGGCATTGCTTTAACATTTCTAAGAGCAATGTGTGAGTTTCAGTTTCTGTCTTTATCAGCTTATTGTTGCTCTTTTTGGTTATAATAGGCATGTGGTGTTTTTGCTTGTTTTCAAGTTCCTACCCCTATTATTAATGATGGGGACAATCTCCTGTGTGCTTATTGGCCGTTTCTATCTTTTCTCTGGAGACAGACCTGTGTGTGCCTGCCTTTTTTTTTTTTTTTTTTTTTAATATAACAGTTGCTTACTTACTTGGGGTGCAAGTTCCTTTTATGACACATGGTGTTTTAGAGGGTTTGGGGGTTAGAGCATTGTGTATCGGGGGGTTGTCTTCTGGCTTGCTAGTAGCTCTGGCTGTCCTGGAACTCTATCTGTAGACCAGGCTGGCCTGGAACTTATAGATTCACCTGCTTCTGCCTCCCGAGTGCCTGTCTTTGTAATGTTTCAATAGAATTGTTTTACCTTCAGATTCTCATCTGACTCATTTTTATTCCTAGAGAAAGGAGGGTTTTTCTGATTTCATTTTTTATGGAAGGTGTTCAGTCACTTTGTCACATATAAATAAACTCATGTTGATTTGGTTGAGCAGCGAGGTAAGGCATTTTTCCGGTGAAGTTCTGTGAGGAAAATGTCTCTGAGACTGTCTGGGAGAGTGGTTGTCAGCTGGGATGGTTTGACTGCAAAGACACTCTGAGTAGCAAGGGTACTGATGTCTAGTGGGTGGAGCCAGGGTTGTGCCAGCTGCAGTGCACAGGACAGTCTCACAGCAAAGGATTAGCCAGCTCCAGTGGCAGGCTTGCTGGAACTGAGAACCTCTGACCTGAACGGGAAGGCCCCAGGACTGAAGGATTTTTCTTTTGTTCTCTTGTCCTGATCACTAATTAAATAAAAAAAGAAACCCTGCAGGCTGTGGATGGTAACAGAATTTGCAGATTGAACTGGGGAACATTTTGTTGAATTCCCAGTGCTGCCAATTTGTATGTAAACTGCCAAGGTGTTGACTATTTGGAGGAGAAATACCAGTTGGACTAGGAACAAATTATTCCTTCCACCTCAGCCTCCTGGTCACCCTGAAACACATGTCTTGTCAGATAAACACAGTGAGTTCATTTAGCTACACATTGAAATGTTGGTCGTCTAAGAGAATGTGACAATAGGACTTTAAAGGTAAAGGTTAAGAACTGACCTTCTGTTGACTTCCAGGCTTTAGCTCACTGTCATTTATGGAACTAGCTTTATTTTTGTTGAAAGCTGATTATTGTTTAATATAACATCTTTTTTTTCCCCCCTATCATGCTAGAGATGAAATCCAAGGCCTTGTGCATGCACAGGTGCTTTGCTGCTGAGCCATATCCGACCGTGCTTAAGACTTCTAAAGCTGGGGCCTAGAGAGAGATGGGTCAGTGGTTTAGAGTGTATACTGCTATTGGGGCCCCGAGTTTGGTTCTCAATACTCAGGTCAAGCACTCTAGCTCCAGGGGATCTGACACTCTTTAGGCCCCTGTGGGCACTAAATGTGTGTCCACAAATGCACATTCAAACACATAATTCAAAATAAAAATAAAGTCTTAAAAAAAAAAGATTTTATAAGGGAGTTGGCCATAGTGGTATACAGTTGTAATCTCAGTGCTCGGCAGAGGCAAGAGAACTGAGTTCAAGACCACCTGAGCACAGGAGACACTGTCAAAACAAAACCCAGGTGGCATAGCATATGTGAGAATGTGGACTCTGGATTCAGATTGCCTAGCTTAAGTCTTAGCATTAACATTTGTTGTGTGTCCTTTTTCGATAATGAGAAATGATGGTGAAGTATGCACTTTGTAGGAGTGTGTTACAGGACACCTAGAACACTCACCAGCAGTGCCAGTAGCATTGAGTGAGCATCTCACCCTCTGTACTCTTCCAGCCCATTGCTATGGACAGTGCCATCACTCTGTGGCAGTTCCTTCTTCAGCTCCTGCAGGAGCCTCAGAATGAGCACATGATCTGCTGGACATCTAACAACGGGGAGTTCAAGCTTCTGCAGGCTGAGGAGGTGGCTCGTCTCTGGGGGATTCGCAAGAACAAGCCTAATATGAATTATGATAAGCTCAGCAGAGCCCTGAGATACTACTATGTAAAGGTAAATGCCTGCCCTGACCCTGACCCTGACCCTGTACAGAGAACTTCAAAACAAGAAGTAGTCTTTGTCTCTGTTGATGTTGATGTTGATGTTGAGTACTAATGTGGTTTATTTAATCCAATTGATTTAACAGCTGTAGTCATTCTGTTTGTACAAACAGAATGTTTGTCCTTAAAAGTTTTTTAATATTCATATACATGAACACGTAGAGGATGGAGGACAGTTTATGAGAGTTGGTTCTCTTCTCTAATCATATGGATTCCAGGGATCAAACTCAGTTGATCCTTTACCTGCTGAGTGACCTTGCTGTAGGTACTTATTTTTATTTTATGTGTATGGGTATTTCACCTGCATGGATGTCTGTGTACCTTGGATGCAGTGCCCTCTCCTTAAAACTGGGGTTATAGTTGTTAGTGACCTGACATGGGTGCTGGGAACTGAGGTGAGGTTCATGCTCTTAACCACTAAGCCATCTCTCCAGCCCCTGAGATGATCTTTAAAGAAAAAAAAGTATAAGGGATGGAGAGATGTTCAGAGCATTGGCTATTCTTCTAAAGGGCCTGAGTTCAATTCCCAGGAACTTCATTGTGGTTCACAACCATCTATAATGAGATCTGGTGCCCTCTTCTGGCGTGCAGGCACACATGCAGGCAGAATGCTGGATGGATGGATGGATAGATAGATAAATAGATTTAAAAAAAAGAAAAAAGTATAAGATTGGAATACAAAAAAGAAAATTTGAGGTGCTTGAGCATAAATACTCCTATATATGTCATAATTTTAAGATTATCATATAGGGCTAGGGATGTAATTTAGTTGGTAGACTGTCTAGCACAGCATAAACTGGGTATTGTGGCATAAGCCTATAATCCTAACATTGAGGAGGAATAGGCAGGAGGACTGGAAGTTGATGACTTAACAAATGTGAAGTTCGCCTGAGATCCAGGAAGCCCTGCTTTATTGAGAGAGAGAGAGAGAGAGAGAGAGAGAGAGAGGGACAAAGAGGGAGAGAGAAGCCAGGAGCTGGGGAGAATGCTCCGTTAGCAAAGTGCTTGCAGTAGAAGCTTGACGATCAGAGTCTGCTGCCTATTACCCAATGTGCCTGTATCCTAGTGCTGCACAGCAGAGACCGGAGGATCGCTGGGGCTTGCTAGTCAGTCTGGACAAATTGGCAAGCTCCTGGTTCAGTGAGAGAACCTGCCTCAAAAGAAACATCAACCCCCCCCCCCCAAAAAAAAAAAAAACAACAATAAAAAAAAAACAAAGTAATTGAGAACAACTTCTGTTGTTGGCTTTTGGCCCCCATGCACATGTTCATACATGCACACACAGGTGCTTACTATCGTCACACATGGGAACCCACATACACCCATGTACATAAAACATTTTATCATGTATATCTGTAAATTGAATTTTTTTAGTTTAGCCTAGGGAGCACAAATTAACACCTTAAAGAATAGCTATTGGTGGCTCACCTATAACTCAGCACTCAAGAGGCTGAGGCAAAAGGGTTGCTGTGGGTTCTAGATCAGCACAAGTAGCTATTTAAAACTGAGTTGATTTTTTTCTTCTTCAGATTTTTTTCTTTTTGTTTTTGTTTATTTTGTTTTGTTTTGTTTTTTGGCTTTTTGAGACAGGGTTTAATTCTGTAGCTCTGGCTGCCCTGGAACTAGCTCTGTAGACCAGGCTGGCCTCAAACTCATAGCGGTTCTGCCTCTGCCTCCCAAATTCTGGGATTAAAGGCATGTGCCACCATGCCTGGCTTATACTTAAATTTTTAAAAATTTATTTTATGTGTGCATAAGGAAGAGATGGGGGCTTTGGGGGTGTGGGGTGGGAGGGTGTCATCACATGATTGTACCATGACACGTTGGTACAGGTGAGGGACAAGATTTTTTGTTTTGTTTTGCTTTTTTTTTTTTTTTTTTTAAGATTTATTTATTTTATGTCTGTTAGTGTTTTGCCTGTGTGCATGCCTGTGTGCCATTTGTGTACCTGGTACCCAGGGAGGCCAGAAGAGTGTGTCAGATCCCTTGGAATTGGAGTTATTGATGGTTGTGAGTTGCCCTGTTGGGGCTGGTACTCAAACCTACATCCTGTGGTGGACCAGCCAGCACATTATTTATTTGTTTGTTTATTTTCAGGGAGGGTCTCTGTGTAGTACTGACTGTCCTGGATCTCTCCATGTAGATCTAGCTGGTCTCAAACTTAGATTCACTTGTTCCTACCTCCTGAACATAAGCATTAAATGTGTGTCCCACCACATCCAGTTGTAGCACCCAGTGCTCATTTTTTTTAATTTAAAATTTTTTTTCTTTTTTATATTAATTACAGTTTATTCACTTTGGATCCCAGCTGTAACCTCTCCCTCATTCCCTCCCAATCCCACTCTCCTGCCCTCTTCTCTTCTCATGCCTCTCCCTCAGTCCACCGATAGGGGAAGTCCTCCTCCCCTTCCAACTCACCTTACCTATCAGGTCTCATCAGGACCTAGCTGCACTGTGGCCTGGTAAGGCTCTTTCCCCCGGGGAGGTGATCAAAGAGCCAGCCACTGAGTTCATGTCAGAGACAGTCCCTGTTGCCCTTTCTAGGGGAGCCACTTGGAGACTGAGCTGCCATGGGCTACATCTGTGCAGGGGTTCTAGGTTATCTCCTTGCATGGTCCTTGGTTGGAGTATCAGCCTCAGAAAAGACCCCTTCACCCAGTGCTCTTAACTGTCTCTCCAGTCCTCCAGACGATAACTTTTGAGGGTCTGTTCTCACTTTCTATTGTACTTGTGGAAGCAGGGTCTCTTGTTTCTTCTGCTGAGCTGTATATTCTAGGCTAGTTTCCTGGTAGTTCTCCTGTCTCCACCTCCCATCTCTGTAGGAGTGCTGGGATTGCATGTCTATACTAACACATTTAGCTTTTTACATTCTGGGGGGTCAAACTTGGGTCTTCAGGCTTCCATAGATAATAGCCTTACCTGCTGAACCATCTCCTCAACCCAAAATTATGTCTTTTAGTATCTTGTGATTTTGAATATTTTCCTGGCCACTGGAGAAAAATAAACATCTCCAAAGAATAGCTTTAGACCTAAGAATCTGAGCTGCTGCTTTCCTCCCTTGCAGTAGTTGATCTTACCAGCTTTCCAGAGGTTAGAATCAGTTGAAAGTAGGAACCTCACAGCTGTCATGCTCTAAGACCCCTTTAGCTTCCTCAGAATGCTGATGGCTTATACCACTGGGACTGTCTGAGATTGCAGTTCAGTGAGTTCTGACTTAATACAGGTATTTGATTAAGAGAGTCAACTTTTATGTGATATCTTAGTCCAGTTGCTAATGAGGCTTTCAACTGCTTTAATTTCTCTGAACAAGGACTGTGTTTGGCCTGGGTAAATGAGTGTAGATGCTTTTGAAGCGTTTTTTGTTTTTTGTTTTTTGTTTTTTTTTTATGTATACAGTGTTCTGTCTGCATGTTCACCTGTACAACCAGAAGAGGGCACCAGATCTCATTTTAGATGGTTGTGAGCCATCATATGGTGGCTGGGAATTAAACTCAGGACCTTTGGAAGAGCAGCCAGCACTCAACCTCTGAGCCATCTCTCCAGCCCCCTTGAAGCTTTTTAAGAACTATGCTTAGTTCTCAAATAGAGTACTTCACTAGGTCCAAATTTTCATGATCTGTGACATGTAATTTATAAAAAAGTATAAGGATGCTTATCTTCTCTACCTACAGAACATCATTAAAAAGGTGAATGGTCAGAAGTTTGTGTACAAGTTTGTCTCTTATCCAGAGATTTTGAAAATGGATCCACTGACGGTAGGCAGGATTGAGGGAGACTGTGAAGCTTTAAATTCCACTGAAGCCAGCAGTTCCAGAGATGCTGAGAGTGGAGGAAAGGAGAGGCCACCTCAGCCTGGAGCCAAGACATCTAGTCGCAATGACTACATACACTCTGGTTTGTATTCTTCATTTACGCTCAACTCTTTGAACACCTCCAATAAGAAGCTTTTCAAGTCAATAAAGATAGAGAATCCAGCTGAAAAACTGGCAGAGAAAAAAGCTCAGGAGCCAACACCATCTGTCATCAAATTTGTAACAACGCCTGCCAAAAAGCCTCCCACTGAACCTGTTGCTGTTACCTTTTCAACAAGCCCAAGTATTTCTCCGTCTTCTGAAGAAACTATCCAAGCTTTGGAGACACTGGTTTCTCCCACACTACCTTCTCTGGAAGCGCCAGCCTCTGTATCCATTCTGGCAACCACTTTTAACCCTACTTCTCCAGTCCCATCCATACCCCTTCCTCTAAAGGAGCCCCAGAGGACACCTTCTCCACCATTGAGTTCTAACCCAGACATTGACACAGACATTGAATCAGTGGCTTCTCAGCCAATGGAACTTCCAGAGAACTTGTCACTGGAGCCTAAAAATGAGGATTCAGCTTTGCCAGAAAAGGACAAAACAAATAACTCAAGATCCAAGAAGCCCAAAGGGTTAGAACTGACGCCAGCCCTTGTGGTCACAGGCAGTGACCCCAGCCCCTTGGGGATCTTAAGCCCATCTCTCCCAACAGCGTCTCTTACACCAGCACTCTTTTCACAGGTAGCTTGCTCTTTCTCTTAAGTGTGACTGCATTCATTTACTCTTCAAACCATATCTACAATTTTTACCTGCAAAATTCAATTTCTATTAATTAGGTTTGTCTTAGAAAGGTTTTATATAAACCTGAGAAGTTTTTTTCTTACCTTAATTAGAATACCTTTAAAAATCCATCGCTCTTGGGCCAAGGACATAGTTCAGATGGTAGAGTGCTTGCCTAGCATGCACAAAGCCCTGGGTTCCATCCCCAGCAATGTGTAAACCAGGCATTATGCCCCACCCCCAACACACCTGGAATGGAATCCCAGCGCTCAGAAGATCAGAATCCCAGCAGGAAGATCAGAAGATAAAGGTCATCCTTGGCTACATAGCCAGTTTGAGACGAGCCTGGGCTATGTGACACCCTTTCTAAAAAAAGGCAGAAGTCATTGATTTACAAGTTTTTGTTTTGTTTTTACCTCCTCGTAAAGAAAGCAAGTTCTCCCCTCACCCCCTTAAAACTGTTGCTATCAGGAGAAAACAGGAGGGACTGAGAGCCTGAGGGAAGGAGTGGAGTGGGCTTTGTAGTCCAACTTACCTAGTTCTGTGAGGTATTAGCTTGTTCAACTAGGAGAAATCTTGACTAAGATCATCCCAGATGGTCTGATAGTACAGGTACTCAACTTGTGCTCTCTTGTACCTGAATTTAACTTTGCTTTCTAGTTTGGAAAGACCCTATAAAAGTTGGATTACAAAGTGATTACTGTGGCCCTTATCTTTCCGAGGTTATAAAATAACTTCTGAGCTTTTCATCATGATAAAATTTGGGGTATAGAGACATTTGGGGAGGAGAACATAGTATTTAGCTTCTACTTGTATCTTTGGAAGGATGGAGCACAATCCGGGCATGTCCTTGAGTGGTCTTCTTGTATATTGCAGACACCCATCTTGCTGACTCCAAGCCCCTTGCTCTCCAGTATCCACTTTTGGAGCACTCTCAGCCCATTTGCTCCCCTGAGCCCAGCCAGACTGCAAGGTGCTAATACGCTTTTCCAGGTAAATTACACAATGTGCCTCCTGTGATAGAGGAATGTTAAATGCAGAAATGGGCAGAGGTAGTGTCCCACTGCCCAGTGTCATTGTCACACACCTCCCATTTGATAAATATTTCACAGTCTGCCGCAGAGTAGTGGTTGCTTTTCCTTTTGATGCAGTAGGTGATTGGGGGCTGTGGCTCTCAGTTACTGCCCAGCATAGCAAGAAACTTTTCTACTGCATATTGCTAGCCCAGGAAAATACTGATGTTTGAGGTACAGTTTCTGTTGAATACATGTGACCTTTTTGTGTTATGTTAAGTTAAACCAGTGTAAACTGGACACTCTGTGTACATATACTAATGCATGCGCACGCACAGCCATGATAAGGATACATTTAATGCATTTTGGTCAGAATTGCATACGCATATGTATACATAACCTGTTCCCCTTGCTTATTCTCCTCCTGTTCTGTTTGGAACTTTTCTTCCTCCCTCTTCACAATACTTCTCCCTCCTGCTTTCATGTCTTTTTGTTGTTGTTTTGTTTTGTTTTTTTTTTTTTTTTGGTTAGGGTTACTTGCCTGTGCATGAGTGGGTATGGGACTATACCCCTGAAAAAAAAAAAAAATGAATCCTCCTCAGTCAAGAGCTGTTAACTATCATAGCTCCTCAGCTAGGATGGGGCCTCCTGTGCTCCTCTGTATACATGCTAGTATGTTGACTTGCTTGATTTTGCTTGATCTTTTCTCAGTAACCACAGCTGCTGTGAGTTCATGAGTACTACACCATGTCATAGTGAGAAGACAGTGTTTCATGGCACTGCTGCCCATCCTCTGGCTCTTTTTGTTTTGTTTTGTTTTTTGTTTTTTGTTTTTTGTTTTTTGAGACAGGGTTTTTCTCTGTAGCCTTGGCTGTCCTGGATTCCCTTTGGAGATCAGGCTGGCCTAGAACTCACAGAGAGCCACCTGCCTCTGCTTCCCCAAGTGCTGGGATTAAAGGCGTGCATCACCATAGCTAGCCCATCCTCTCTCTTAAATTCTTTCTGCCCCCTCTTCCCCAGCCTTCCCTGAGTCTTGGAGTATGTGCCCTGCAGATGTCCCATTAATGACTGTAACGCCACAGACACTTGTTCGATGCACTTTGACCGGTTGTGAGTTGCGATATTAACCATCATTCACTGCAAAAAGAAGCCTCTCTGGAGCTGAAGAAGTGGCTCAGCAGTTACGAGTATGTACTGCTCTTGAAGAGGACCAGAGTTCAGTCCCCAGCACCCTTTTTGGGGAGCTCCACTCACATGTACTAAATTACACACATAGACACCTAATTCTTTTTTTTTAAAAAAAAAAACTCTTATGAGGGTCAAGAGTACATTCATCACTGAGTGTAGAGGTAAGTATTTACCTGTTTGACAGCATGTCCATATAGCAAAACAATAACAGTAGGCCCTCTGAAGGCCTATGACCTCCTCAGCCATGGGCTTTTGACCAGATTTACAGTAGTAGGCATGAGTTCTCTCCTGTGGTGTAGGCTTTAAATCTTAATTAGAAAAGTGATTGGTTACCCCCATAATACTCATAGTACAGTAATACCAGGGACACATGTTGCCTGGCAGGTCATTGTTTAAGCATGTAAGCTCCATTGCCAGGCAATACTGCTGATGGCTTTTCACTTCCGGTGGCCTGTATACCATGTTCCAGCATTATGAAAGCTAGCCAGCAGGGAGGAAGTTTCTAGGTCAGTTCCAGCTTGGTTTCTGACCTGCAACAAAGTGTGTGGTGTTTAGCAATAGATCTTAGCAACTGGTGGGCAACCAAGAGCAGTAGCAATAGCCCATATTGTTTTGAGGGGCCTCTGAGAACTCTCTGACCAACAACTCATAAGGAAGTACCCATTCTTGGCATTTATTTAATTGGAATTTATTTAATTCTGGGAACAGCATTATTCATCCATGCAAGGTGTCTTCATTCAAACTTTAAAAAAATATTATATTCTTTAGTTAGTTTACAAAGGAGCAGATTTCCATTAAGATTTTGCTTGTTTGCAGTGTTTCTTTCTGTAGTCCTAGCTATCTTAAAACTTACTCTCTACACAGTGTCAGCCTCAGACTCACAGAAATTCGCCTCCCTCTGCCCGGGAGTGCTGGGATTAAAGGTATGCACCACCACTGTCCAGCTCCATTAAGAACTTTTAAGGGGGCTGGAGAGATAGCTCAGAGGTTAAGAGCACTGGCAACTCTTCCAAAGGTCCTGAGTTTAATTCCTAGCAACCACATGGTAGCTCATAACCACCTGTAATGAGATCTGATGCCCTCTTCTGGTGTGTAGACATACATGCAGGCAGAATACTCTAATAAATGATAGATGAATAAATAAATAAATCTTAAGCAAAAATAACTTAAATACTTATTTTGGTTCATCTCTCACTCCCTTGTTTCTCCTACTCTTTCCTTCCCACCCCCATTCCTGCTAAAACTTCTTGTGTGTGTACCACCCCACCTTACACACACATGATAAGTGTATACAAATCACAAAAATACATCATAGTCTTCCATGATGCACAGTTACTGCCTTTGTTTTGAGGAGGTATCTTGTGCTTTGCCCTGGGGGGGATAAGAGGGACAGGAAGTGAATGTCCAGGTTAATAATAAGTTGCTGATCTGTGTTTGCTTTCTTTCTTCTCAGTTTCCTTCTGTACTGAACAGTCATGGACCATTCACTCTCTCTGGCCTAGATGGACCTTCCACTCCTGGCCCATTTTCTCCAGACCTGCAGAAGACATAACCAGTGCAGTTGTGGACTAAGAGACCAAGAAACCAAGAGACAGAGACATCCAACATGATTGGGTTTGAAATGAGGGATAGTTCTGCAGTGCTTATAATAGACTGTTGTTTTTCCATTTCCTGTTGAAAGCCTTTTCAGGATTCTCAAATGTTGGACTGTATAAAAATGCCTTAATTGGAGTCCAAGCTCCACAGCACTTCTTTTTTAAAAGGTATTTTGTTGTTGCTGTTCGTCCTGTTTTGTTCTTTTCTTTTCTTTTCTTTTCTTTTCTTTTCTTTTCTTTTCTTTCTTTTCTTTCTTCTTAATGCTTTGTGCAAAAAATACTGGTCTGTTGGGGTTTAGCAGATGTGTTTCTCAAGAAAGGCACAGAACAAAGTCACTGGTGGTCCTGGATTTTAGGACTGTCTGGCCAAGGGAAAAAAGTATGTGTAGAATCTGTTGCTTAGAGAAATATTTGTTAGCTATGTATGATGGCCTGCTTCTGCCATCTCAGCACTTGGGAAGCTGAGGCAGCAGAACAGCCAGGTTGAGGGCCAGCCTGGGCTATACATGCAGTGAGACTGTCTCAGAAAGATACAAATACTTTTTAAGGAAACCGGTAGTGTGTTTAGCACTAAGTATGCTCTGCTGAATGACCAAAACAGAGCTGCTCAGCAGTAGGAGAGAGTCATTCCTATTCTTAGGAGGATTGGAGTACCACCATGCACGAGGCTTTGACATGATGATCCACAGAAAGGCATCTTGTTTACACTTACCTGGCTTGGTCTCTGGCGTATCGTACCTGTGATCATGTCTGAACCTGTCATCAGGCCCTGAGCTATTTCAACACAAGACTTTGAAAGCTCAGTTTGAATGTGGGTTTTGGAACGTTCTGTGAGAATATGGAACCTCACTTCCAGCACAGATCTCACTTGTGCTCTGATTGGTCTTTTTCTGAAGTCATGCAACACAGCATGGAAAACAACGATTTTTTAGGAGAATAGAGTTGGGGTGTGAAAACTAAATATTGGATGAGGTGGAAAAAAAAAAAAGTTCAGTTGAATACTCTGAGACATGAAGTATGGCATTTTCCAGCTAGAAGACACCCAGAATGATAGGCCTCTTTTTTACTTACTAATTTTGTCCACTTCTGTTACGCACTTTACTATGCTTCCTTTTAAATGTAAGGTCAGGACGAAGCAGCGTTCACATGTAATCAGGAAGCTGAACTTTGAATTAAACTTTCCAGTTAGCTTTGAGATAAAGATGTGTTTAAGTTATGGAAGATCAGATTGCATTTGACCATTCTCATACACAGGAATTTGCTTACTAAATTAGTAATGAGAAGAAGGGGCCTTTATCTGCATATTGTCACATTTGTAAAATACTGTGTGATAAGTCAGAACCAGATGTACACAGATACAAGGTCTCTCAAACTGAATTGATATTAATATCAGAGTGGCATCTTGAAAATTTTGACTCTCAAGTTCAGAACTGAATTAAATTACATGTCCCTCCTCCTGCCCATTACATCCTAGACATGACTTGAGCTGAATGAAGTAGGGGCTGTGGGCTCGGAATGACACTGATACAGAGTGGTGTCTTTCCAGGTGCATAGTGTTGGCTGTTCAGTGCAAAGTATGGAAGTGTGTGCTGGCTGGGTTATGGAGGGTGACAGAGAGCTGCCTTTTAGAGAGTACTGGTTCACTTGTGGTTATCTAAAAGTTGTGTTCCCATGATGTGCAATAGTAGTGTTGAAAGGTAGTGTTCAGAGTGATGGGAACAGGTACTGTAATGAGCTTTCTTCCCATGGTGGATTATTTAGTTTGCATGCATGTTTGGAATTACTCTCAGCAGCACTTTGTAGTAATGTAGTGGTTTAACACTGTGTATACTAAGTAAGTCTTGATAGTTGACCTAAATAGGTGTTTGAAATTCTGAAAACATAAAAATCTTTTATCTTCTTGAGTTAAAGGAGAAAAGCCATTGGTTTGTTTTCACAGAATTTTTTATCTTGGCACATAGGTGCCTTGGGCCCAAGGGCACCATTTAAACTCAGGCTGGGTGTGGTAGTGCAGGCCTGTGGACCCAGCACTTGGGAAGTGGAAGCTGGAGGATCAAGAGTCAGGGATAGCCTCAGCTACAAAGTGATTTTGAGACTCGCTTAGACTACCTGAGACCCTGTCTCAAAAAAAAAAACAGAAGCAAAAACTCAGAGCAACTTTATAAGAAACTATGAGGCCTTGTGGGGGAGGGGTACATGGACCTGCTTTCTTCTTGCTATGAATGAATTTGCAAAGAATGTGCTTACTCTTTGTGCGTGTGTGTCAGTCAGTTTGTGACCTTGCTGTGTGTATGAGACAGACATTTCTCTCTGTAGACTACCTCCTTCCTGAAAAAGTCTGAGCTTTGTGTTAGTTTGAATAGCCATAGAATTCTTAGCTGTATTCAGGGAGAGAATCTGTACCTTCAACTCATCTCTGGCATCTACAACTAGGTACCTTGCTAGGGCGAATGGTGCTGGGCATCAGTAGCTTGAAGCAAGGGAGATGAGCAGGTTGTCAGGGTTTGCGATACCTCCTGAGGCAACTTAGCTTCTCTTCTGCTCTGGACTGTCTCAACTCAGTTCAGTGACTGAAGGTGTGAGAGTTGGAGTCCTGGGAAGGCCTGAGTGGGAGGGTCTGGTGGCTTTTTTGGATGTCCATTCATGCCCTGTGGTGGGTTTGAATCCACTGTGGAACTGAGAACGATGTGAGCAGTGACTCAGAGCATTGCCACACACCCCTGTATTTACTTCCTTAGGTGGGTTTTCACTTAAATTGTACTTTTCTCTTACTTGTGCTGATTTTTTTTGAAGTCCAAAATTAAAATGTCAGGTTTAGCTTAAGTAATCTTTTAATGATTTCTCATAGTATTGTTGTGATGTTACGGTCCTTGTGGCATAGTCTGTGTGTTTGAATAAGAATAGAAATTTCCATTGATTTTAAAAAAAGTATATAATATAAAATTGAATCTAGAGGCCTTCACAAGGCCAACATTAAGCTTCATTGAGTAAAAATATAAGTTTATTTTTCTTCACATTTTAACAGTTAAAATACAAGTATAATTTTCCCTACTATGTTTTTTTTGTTTGTTTGTTTTGGGGTTTGACATAGGATTTTTCTCTGACATCCAGGCTGGCTGTGAACCAAATCCCGTATGCTGGCATTCACAAGTGTGCACCACCAGGTCTGGCTGTTTCTTCTTCAACTGTGGTGGAGAAAGTAAACCCATGAACTTGTATAGAGTACTGGATTCTTATTAAACTGGAAAATTCCTTGTGGGCTTGTATACCATCTTAGATATATAAAAAAAAGGCAGGAGTGGCTGGCAAGCATACCACAGGCTTGGCATTTGTGACTTAGTGCCAGCTGTTGACGGGGATTGTGTTCACCTTGCTTTGTGCTGTGTGCAGTCTACTACTGTCTCACTGCGGCCTCTGATGTTAACATTCTGAAAAGGCAGCTTTATGTGGGAATGTATTAAGCACCATTGAGGCCCTCAGTGGAATTGCAGGAGAGCAGTCAGTCTTTTGGAACACCTTGGATTTGTTTTTCCTTTTTTGATTTTTTTTAGACTGGGTCTTAGTCTATAGACTATGCTGGCCTCAAACTCTTGGCAGTCCTCCTGCCTTGGCATCCCAAGTACTGAGATTATGAAATGTAGCTACTATGTTGGGCACAGTAAAAGTTTTTCAATATAGAGATTTCTCTCACAAATTAATATATATCACTTTATTAAAGTAAATGCATACTCTACTGTAACACAGAGAATGAGGGTTAGCATAAGAAATAAATTCTGTGTAGCATTCAGTCCTGCTCAGTCCTTCCCGCACCCCAGCAGGTGGCTCTGTACCTATAAGCAAACAGTGTCCTGAATCACTGACTCAACATAGAGTTCCGTATTTGATTCCCCAAAATACAGATTTGCATGTGTGTTTCGGAAGGGGTTGTGGAAAATTCTAGAAAAGGGTTGAAATTCTCTGGGAGCTTTGTCATAGCTTTTCACATTTCCCATTAATTCTTTCTCAGGGGGATTCATTCCCAAATGCTTTCTAGATTTCCTACACACCATGACCCTGTATTATGCATGAGCAACATTTTTGTTTTTATAGTCTCCTTACAGACTTCTTTGGCCTTAAGTTATTTTTTAGCAACAGTTTCATAATTATATCAAGTTACTTTATATAACCAGCTTCAACTTCCTTGCCGGATTTTAAAGTGCTGTTTTTGGTTTGTTAGTCTGCTTTTCTCATTTGGGACATTTAAGCATCTGAAGGAATAGCTTACTCGATGACTTCTGTTTATCACTTATTTACTACATACTTGTCATTTGCCTGTGCCAAAAACGAGGCATTATGCCACGGTGGCATTCTTTGCTTTGGGAAGGTGTGGAGACAAATGCACACCTGGGGCTCAGAATGAATTTCCAATAGGATTAAGACTATTGATACCATGGTCTGTTGTCCGAGGGTTTCTAAAACAGCTAAGTGTTGGGCACAGACTGCTGGGAAGGATCAGGCATGGTGGTGCGTCTCTGGCAGACACTCTCCCAGAGGCTTCTGGAAAGTGTTGTTAGCGTTCTTCTAGGTCTGCTGTTCAAAGTGCTGGTGCTGCCCATTACTTCCCTTACATTATCAGAAGTACTTACTGGAGGTGCAGTTTCCATCTGGGATTCTTATGGGTGGTGGTGCCTCTTGTACTCTGGGGAACTTGTTACTATCAGAGTTATGTTTTCACCTGTGAACACAGCATATGTGAGAGGTCAATTGTCAAGTGTCCAGCGGGTGGTCCATCTGAAACTAACAGGCCTTCAGGCTCTTTCTCTGTTGCTGTAACAGAGTGTGACAAGTGGCTAGCTTGCTAAAAAGAAACCATTTCTTAGGTGCTGCTGTTTGTGGTTAGCCCTTGTTAAAGAGTGGCTTGTGAGGAAGTAACTGTCTGCTAACATGATTTAACTTGATCCTGTGGTACTGGGGGTAGAACCAGGGGCTTCACATTTGCAAAATAAGTGACCACTGCTGGACTATATCCCCCTAGCAATTCCTCCCTCATAACTTTAAATGACAGTTTTAACTGGGAAATTCCTCAGGATTATAGTCAGTCAGTCAGTCTGTCTGTCTCTCTCTTTCTGGTTTCTTGAGACAGGGTTTCTCTGTGTG